CTAATGATATGCTAAGGCTGCTAAACCGCTCGCTATCATGTGCACTGACCACCAGGGGGAAGATGCTCCAACCGGTAGGTTAGCTTGCTGCTGGGGTCCAGCCGATCCAGATTGAGCAAGACAGGCCAGGCATGCCCTGGAGCCCTCCTGTGGTCCCTCCCCAGCTGGCCAACCTCCACATCCCTCCCCAGCCCTGATCGTGGAGGCCAACCTCCCACATCCCTCCCCAGCCCTGATCGTGGGCCAGTGGGGTCCCTCGGCCTGGCCTGCACCCTCTTGCAATCCAGGCTGAGGGACTTCCCCCGCCCCCCAAGTGCATGAATTTCATGCACCAGGCCTCTAGTGGATAAATACAAGTGGAGAAGCAACTCTGGCAAGGGGACATTTAGACTGAATGTTTAGAATTTATGAGGACTATCTGAGAGTTTAGATTTGGACAAAATGACTCTTTCCTAACCTAAAAACTCTACAAAGGCTCTTTGGGCATCTCTCATTTCACATAGATGGTAGTGGGTGATAAACCACCCCAGAATCCAGGTGAAAGACATCAGCCTGCCTATTATACTGAAGTCTTCATTCCCTAGCAACGTGCTCTAGCATCAGGGAACTTTTACTTTCGTGCTGGCAGCTGGAAAGCCAGCTCTAACTTGGATGCCATCTCTCCGAAGTGCCTTCTAACATAAAAAGACACACGTCATATTAAATGTGTGTCTAAATTAATTGTAATTTCCACAGAGAACCCAGGCTAAATACCAGTAAATTGCTGGCAAAGACTATTCAGTTTCTGAGCATAAATTTTGCTGCCCCTTGAAACAATAGACAAAGCAAAACACTGTTGTTCCATGATTCAGAAGAGGTTTTTTTTTCTTCAAAAGAAAAAAAACAAAAAGCAAAAATGCCCATTTATTCTCAGTCAGAAGGTTAGGATTTGTAACTATTGCTCTAAAGTAGAAATTAGTTCAATAGTCCTTTTAAGTGGGAATTTCTTGAAATGAAGAATGCGGCCAAAGTTGGGAACACCTTTCAGTGCAATTTCATTTTCCTCCCCAGAAAACTAAAGAACTCAGTAGCGGTCCCTTCCATTTGGAAGTGAGACTGAATCATCGTTGCCAAACTGTTTCTCAGAACCCTAGGGCTCTGCAGATGTCTTACGAGTTTTATTTCCCAGCTAGAGTCATTCCACTTTGACCTGTTTTGTATTGGTGCTCCATAAACATTTACCCTTTAGAATATGGTCCTCTAATTATTTTTTAAAAAGGATTTTGAAAATCCAATACATTCACAAATATTTGAAATAGGTAATGCATTTTTCTTTCAGAACCCTGTTATTGAAATAAATATTAAAATGCAAGTATTCATAAACAATTTTTTTTATTTTTAATATATCTACCCTATGGCCTAGATTATTATTATTTTAAATATATTTTTATTGACTTCAGAGAGGAAGGGAGAGGGAGAGAGAGAGACAGAAACATCAATGACGGGGGAGAATCATTGATCTGCTGCCTCCTGCATGCCCCACACTGGGGATTGAGACCACAACCCAGGCATGTATTCTGACTGGGAATCTAACCATGACCTCCTGGATTATGGGTTGTTGCTCAACCACCAAACCACACTGGCCAGACCTAGGTTATTTTTTAAAAAATAGCTTTACATCCTGCTTTTGAGCTTTTAGGTATATACTGAAGCCCCAAACTTAAGTTTGTGTAATACAATTTAGAGAAATTTGTTGCACCTAATTAAGAGCCTTATCTGAACCAGGCGCTATGCTGAGAATGAAGAGAATGAAGATGACTTTGCTAACTCAAAAGAGTGTCATGGACTGGTAAGAGAGTCAAGTGAGTCTGCAATCAGTGTTTACACCACATCCTCTAGCAGCAGCACTGATAGGGGCTTCTACTCAAAAGGGGGTTGGGTGGGATGAGGAAGACAGGAAGAAGCTGTAGCAAACCTGAATAGCCAGCATTCAGACTCAGCATAGAAGGTCCCTGGGACCTTCATTTTCCGGGGTTCTAATGGCTGGGCGTTTAGGCGAGGTCTTGGGATAGAATCAATAGGATATTCATTAGCTTTATGCTGATATATCAAAACGAGATTTATTCTTTTAATTTGTCCTTGGGTGTGGTTGGCAAATGGGACTTAATTGGATTTCTGTTATCTGTCTCCCTGAGTAGGGCGATTTAAGCTATTTACCCTCTGGTTGGGGAGGAGAGTGCAAACTATTTACTCTTAAGTGTCCTTGGTTTAGGGAAGATAGGATTTACTTGATGGATACAAACTGCATTTAATATCTGTCTCAGCTTCCCCATTCCATTTGTCCTGAAATTTTCCTAGCTTCTTACTTTTCTGTAATACTGCTGGATATTTGTCAACCTGGATGTTTTGATAATATTAAATAATTATTTAAAATTATTTTTAGATACTGCACTGGTCAGTGAGTTCAATGGTTAGAGCATTGGTCCATGCACTGAAAGGTCTCAGGTTCAATTTCTGGTCAAGGGCACATACCTCGTTTGCAGGTTCAATCTCTGACCCAGTCGGAGCACATTCAGGTGGCAACTGATCAATGTGTCTCTCTCACATCAGTGTTTCTCTTTCTCTGTCTCTCTTTCTCTCTCTCCCCCTCCCCCCTTCGCCCTCTACCTCCTTTCCACTCTCTCTAAAAATCAATGGAGAAAATATCCTCAGGTGAGGATTAAACAAAAAATAAAATTATTTATTTATTTTTATTTATTTATGTTTTTAATCCTTACCCGAGTATATTTTTCCATTGATTTTTTGAGAGAGTAGAAGAGAGGGGAAAGACAGAGATAAATATCCATGTGAGAGAAACACATCTATTGGCTGCCTCCGGAATGAGCCCTGACCAGGGCCCGGGCTGAGGAGGAGCCTGCAACTGAGGTACATGCCCGTGATCAGAATCGAACCCGGACCCTTCAGTCCACAGGCCAACACTCTGTCCACTGAGCCAAATTGAGTAAGGCAAAAATAACATTACTTTTAGATATAAAAAAGATATTGTAATTGAAAGGTGAACATGGTGGGTTAGCATTGTGGTGGGTTAACACACCCAGGTAGGCTAAATAGCCATCTCAGATGGTGATTAAAGAAAATGGAAGTTATGTGGGGAAAGGAGGTGGGGGATGGGATATCTAAAGGGAAGGGCTGCACAGCACCGAGTCAAGTAGACATTGGGTCCACGATGGCAGCCCCCAGGACCTGGAGCTTCACCCTTCTATGCAGTCACTGGCGGGAAACTGGTGGTCAGTTGGGTTTGGGGGCTAGGCTGCTTGGAATGCGGATGGAATGCAGGTGTGCAGTCAGGTGCCTTCAGGACAGTTTCCATTCCTTGTACGGCCTGATTCCTGGTGTCCAGCAAGTTTAACCTGGTTTTTTGTTCTGTGGTGGGAAGCTTGCAAATGGCCATTAAGGATTGTATTGCCCCATGGGCCTAACAATAATTATACGTAGAAAAAGTCTCCTGCCCCCAAATTGACAAATACAATGATATGAGGTCTGGTAGTTCCTTCCATGGTTGAGATGAAATGAGATTGGCTAGAACTCAATAGTTGTTGATGCTGGATGATGGATACAGAGGGTCTGCTTTGTACGTGTTTGAACTTTTCCATAATATAATATTTTCAAAAAGAAAAACAAAAACCCCAAAACCAACACACAAACCTCAAGAAAACAAATCAGATAATTATGTTGTAATAAATGCTAAGGAAAAAAAAGTGGTAATAAAATAGTTTTCCCACTTGAAGTTCTGACTAGCTTAAGGCACCGAGATAAGGTCAGGCTACCAGGTCAGTTCCTCTCTAAATTACTGAGGTAAAGCCCACCAGGCCGCCCTCCCCCCTCCCCCCACCTCCTTGAGTGGATAGGTGGAGTGCTTTTCTGCTTGAATTTCCATGGGTTGATTCAGTTTCTAATCTGAAAGAAAGGAGTCAGGATTCCAACCATTATCTGCCTAATACAAAAGCGTTGGTCACACCCAGATCTAGACTATGCTTCCAGACTTTTAAGTGACTTTTCTTTAAGTAATTCTTTACCTTGAAGGCTTGATGAAGCACACATCCTGAAGATCTGGGGTGTGGTCTCATAATTATTTTTTCAATCTTTTCTCCAGTAAACTGAAGCCGAGCCCTTGCAGACCACATTTTGAATTTAGTACATATAAACTAAATTAAACTGATCTGGGCTCCATGGGTCCTGAGACTAATGAACTGAACCACTTTCCTAGGGCAGAGAAAGTGCCCCGTGAGACCCCTGCATGACAAAGCTGCCATAATGTTTGCTAATAATTTCTTTAGTGGCTCTGGCTCCTTGGAGTGGCTTCTTCAGGGTCACCTCTTGTCACATCTGCCTCCAACATTATGCTCCAGTGATTCCCACGTGCTTGCAGTTCCTTCAGCATTCACTAGTTCATCACTTGCCTTAATATTTTGGCTCTTGCTGCTCCTCTTCTAAACAGCCAAACCCCAGTTTTGCAAGCTTAATATTTACATCTAGAACTAAATCCAGAAGGGATTATGTTATTCAAGCCCTACAATTCAAATCTAATTTCCCAGTGAGTGATACACCCCTGGGCATAAATCAGTTACAAAATACCTCTGAATCTTTTTTTATTCCTTCCATAATAATGTCATTCAATCCATCACTGCTATTCTCTGAGAAATGTTTGAAACTACTCTGGTCAATTGTAACTTGTCTTCAAGAATTTTTCCAGTTTCACCCCAAGTCTTTATTTCTTAAAAATAAAAATCTCTCTTTTTAAAAATTCCTGAATGCTATTAATTACCCAATAATTCCAAGATCGCCTAGTAAGATAAGATAGGGCATAAAACTGATAAAAACATCATCCGGTCAGATAATGGTGGGAGGGCGGGGCTTGGGAAGAGAAAGAAAAGAGCTCTTGAGAAACAGGAAGTAGAAGGAGACATTTGCTTATAAAAAGAGAAATCAGGCTAGAAACCCTGTGGTTAAATGGAGTAAACTGCACGTATCCTCAACACTGCTGGCATCACCTTCCTCTGAGTGCTCCTAGAAATGGCAAACTCAAGAAGCGAAAAGGTAAGTTTAGTTCAAATAAAATTAATTTTCCCGCAGATTCACTTTTTAAGGCCTTTCTGGAGCTCACTTATGTTTTGCTCTTGCCATGCACGAATCTTAACTTCTGGGTGTAAGGACATTCTTTGTGGTTAATTATTTTCTTTCACGTGATTGTGGCTCTGTCTACTTGGGCGAGAGTAGAAAGGAGAAGCAAAGATTCTTTTTCATAGAGCAAAGTAAGAGATTTATTTTGCAGAAAGGCATGTTGTAGGTCAACAAGATAAAGACGGAAAAGAAGGAGAGCTGCTGTACCAAGAACATGGGAAAGATTAACATGGATAAGGACAAACATGAAGGGACCAATTCGTTTCTTACAGGAGTGAGAAGTAATGTAATCCCAGTGGCCTTGGTATCAAATGGGTTTCCAGACCAGGCTTGGGTCACCCTGGACTGGAGGAGAGGATATAATTGAGGTTTCATGGGTATTTTCAGGGCTGCTGTACCAGGCTAGACGAGGACTGAATTGGCCAACATTAAATATATGATTATAAGCAGGTCATAGAGCTGCTTTGAGCCCCCATTTATCTCTAGAGTGGAGTAATAATGTCAATGCTTTTTTAAATGTGTGTGAAAGTGCTTTGAAAAAGCGGCATACAAATGTAAAATCCCTCTATGCAAGCTACAGGAAGTCGTTGAGATTATTTAAATAGGGAAAAGGGATGGCTGCTTCAGATGCCACTAGGCTGCTGTGGGAAAAATGTATTACATTAGGGCTGGGATGGTTTTGAGAGAAAAAGCTAAGTTCAGAGATTTACTGAAGCATGTGTTACTCTGTGGCATTGGTCATTTAATTCCTGAGACTTAGTGGCCTAATTTGTAAAATAGGAAAACTAATAAATTAGTACAAGTATGTTATAAGGATTAAGCAAGAAAATACAGAAAGCATCTAGCATAGTGCATGTTTACAAAACCAGTAAATGTTACTTCCTGCCTGTCCAGTTCACCTTTCAGTCATTAGATCATTGAAGAACATTGAGTGCCCAATCCGTGCTGGGCACTGTGTTAGTTACTGTGATAGCAAAGGGAGGAAAACAGATGCATGCTCTCTCCTCAGGTCAGGGCTGAAGTAAGGCCAATATGGCTGGAGCTCGGAAAGCTTTTAAGCTGGAATGGCAGGACCACAGTGTCCAGGGATGTGTCGTGTAGGCTACATGAGAGAGTTTTGTCATTTACTCAGAAAGCAATGATAAGCGATGGGAGTATTTTAAGCAGGCAGGAGAGCAATCTAAAGAAAGAGTGGAGTTAGAATGGGTTTTTAATAACAAGACTTTTGCATCTGCCAGTGAGAGCTAATGATAGCTTGAGTTGCAAATCATGTGATGGAAGATGGGAAGGCAGCAACACATCTCACACGGATTTCGGAGATAAAATGAAAGTAGTTAGTGTTTTAGTTGATGGAAAGGAAGACCACAAGGGGAATGGTTTCCGAAAACCGCTTCAATTTCCTCTTTTTTGTTCATCCTCACCCGAGGATATTTTTCCATTGATTTTTAGAGAGTGGAAGGGACTGGGAGAGAGAAAGAAACATTGATGTGAGAGAGACACAGCGATTGGTTGCCTCCAGCACATGGTCCTAATGAGACCCAGAACCCTTTCGCGGGCCAAAGCTCTATCCACTAAGCAAAACCGGGTAGGGTCTTTCCATTTCCTCTTTTCACTTGTAAATCTGTTTTTATCCATTTTCTCATTTTTTTTTTTAAATCTAGTAAAGGGTCTGCTAGTAACATCATATTTAAGGAAATCTCAGTAATTTTTTTCCATCACCTTCTCAGTTTTGTATTCATTAGTTGTGATTTGAAAGTAAGCAGTTTAATTGTATGCATCAAATGAAAATTGGTAACTGACCCTTTTCAGGATTTCTTTCAGGATGAATTAGAAGAAGAAAATGTGATACTCACATTGGTTCCAATAAGCGAGGAACATCATGAACATCAAATGGAGCCAAGTGTTTCTTCAACCTCAGACGGCAAACTGACAGCGCCTAGGACGAACGATAAAGGTGTGATGATAAGGATTGCTCAGTGTACCACTCCTCCAGCTCTGGAAAGCCCAGGAAAAAGGGATTTTTCTTTTCTCTTCTTTGGCCATACAAAGCCCAGCTCACCTCAATTACCTGTAATAAGAGAGTTCTCTAACTCCCATGCTTGTTATTTGCTAAGCACTATGTACTGCCTTGCTTTTAAGACACACAAAAATCAGCATGTGGAGTGTTTTGGACAGAGCATAGTCTTATGGGGCAACTGAATAGAAGTTCAAATTTCCAACCCATGACCCTCACCCTTCTCTTCATTTTGGTTAATACATACTTTACATACCTCTTACAAAGACTAATTTTTTCCAGCTTTATTGAGATATTTACACAATACTGTAATTTTAAGATGTACAATGTGATGATTGGTACACATATATATTGTAAAATGATTATAAAAATAAGGTTAATTAACACATTCATTTAAGATTTACTCTTTTTTTCAATCATCATTCGAGGATGTTTTAATTAATTAATTGTATTTTTATTAACTTCAGAGCGAAAGGGAGAGGGAGAGATAGAAACATCAATGAGAGTCTTTGACCCCTGCTTTCTGCACGCCCCCTACTGGGGATCGAGCCCACAAGCTGGGCATGTGTCCTTGACTGGAAACAAACCTGGGACCCTTTGGTCCACAGGCTGACACTCTTATCCACAGAGCCAAACCAGCTAGGGCTGAGGATGTTTTTATTGATTAAAGGGAGAGAGGGAGGAGGGAGGAAGGGGAGGAGGGAGGGAGGAAGGGAAGGAGAGAGAGAGAGAGAGAGAGAGAGAGAGAGAGAGAGAGAGAAATAAAGAGAAAAAAAAAAAGAAAGAGGAAGAAAGAAATCAATCGCCTCCTGTATCCAACCCAAAACCTGGATATGTGCCTTGACTAGGAACCTGCATATAGGATGACACTCCAACCAACTGAGCCACACCGACCAGGGCAAGATTTTCTATCTTAATAACTTTTAAGCATACAATACAATATTGTTAATATAGTCACCATTCTGTACATTCGTCTCCAAAACGTATTCATCTTATAACTGAAAAATTATACCCTTTGATCAACATCTCCCTATTTTTCTCACCTCCAAACCCCAGGCAACCACCACTCTACCCTGTGTTTCTATGAGTGAGTTCTGCTTTTTTAAATTCCATATACAAGTGAGATCATAGAGTATTAGGAAGATAAAATCATTTTGAAAAACATGTAATATTTTGCTAGGTTGAGTAATTAACTGATCAAATATCTAGCAGCTCTTAATATCATAACCCTTTATCTCCTTAGTGCTTCATATAAGGCATTGAATATGTATTTTCAGATGATAAAGTACATAATGACAAATTATGGCTAAGCAGATTGAGTAGAGAAAAATAAAACAGGATGACCATTGTTGGTTGGGGTGCTTTCTTGGACTCCTATTGGTCCAAGATCTAGACATTTGGAGGAGCCATCCAATATAATGTTCTATTCAGCTTGTGTTGATGGCCATAAACACAACAGGTTGCTATGTTAGTGTAAAAAGCATGGAGCCTGGCCAGTGTGTCTCAGTGGTTGAGTGCCTACCTATGAACCAGGAGGTCATGGTTCAATTCCCAGTCAGGGCATATTCCTGGGTTTTGGGCTCCATCCCAACTAGGGGGCATGCAGAAGGCAGCCGATCAATGATTCCCTCTCATCATTGATGTTTCTGAAATCAATTAAAAATATTTTTTAAAAAACATGGAATTTTGAATATCAAAATGTACATTTGAGTCTCAAGTCTGTCATTTTATTGGATATGTGGTATTGAACAAGTCCTTTATTCTTGAATCTGTTATCTTATTTGTAATATGAGAACAAATATTTGGTACCGATATGTATAAATTGGGTTATAAGAAATAAGTGAGAACTTAGTAAAATTATAAAGAATCTTACAAATTTTAAATTATTACTACTTTGGTTTTCTTCTTTTCTCAGTTAATCTTTCTCAAATGAATGAACAATTCAAAGATTGCCCAAAACCAATCCTTCCCTTGCCGACCAATTTGCCATCATTTAATAAAGTGCGTCACGACACTTTGCGGAACTGGTGCCAACAATTGAATTTGAGTACCGATGGTAGGGTGAGTACATTGGTGAGAATTTCTGCCACTCAGAGAAAATATTCAAAGTCTTGCAAACTTTGCTTTTTCTCTCTTTCTTAAATTTCTTAGAAAATAGAGGTTTATCTGAGGCTCAGCGAAAACGCTTATTTTAAAAAAAATCGAGTGAGTGGGAAGCATGGAGACAATGTAAAGGTGAGTTCTGACTGTGAATTGTTCCTCCTCTCCCAGCATCTCCACATACTAGTGTGTTGTACCTCTAAGGTAGGGGTGAGGAATGTACAGCCATCTAAGGCCCACGATATCATTTCATCTGGCCATGCCAAGACAACTACAGGTTGTCTAGGAGCTTGTTTCATAGCAACATGAATTTGTATTAAGCGAATGATGTTATAAATATTCAAATGGCCCTTGGTCCAAAAAAGGTTCTCCTCAACCTTGCTTGCTCTAAGGCAAGATTTCTCAACCAAGACTATTGACATTTTGAGCCAAATAAGTTCTTTTTGTTTGGAGGCTGTCCTGTGTATTTTAGGATATTTAGCAGACTAAACATCCCTGGCCTCTATGCACTTGATGTTAGTAGCACCGCTTCCTCCTTCACAGTTTTAGCAATCAGCAATTTCTTCCATTTGAGAACCACTACTCTAAGGGAACTAACATTCCTAAACCTTTCCCATGCTGACCCACTTGGGTAAATGTATAAAGAATGATCAAATTGATATAGAAGTCATTATGGTAGTAGCACTTCACGTAATACTCATCATGAATGCCATTTGCAGAATGTTGCTGAAACACCAGAGGAGGCCACATTGCAGTCATGCTCCGGGAAACTGACCAAGAGTTCAAGGAGTAAGAAAAGTCATCAGATGAGCAAAAGAGAGGAAGAGACTCATACGGTTGAGATGACCAGTATAATTGAAGTGGCCAATACAGTTGAAGTGGCCAATACAGTTGAAGTGGCCAGTACAGTTGAAGTGGCCAATACCGTTGAAGTGACCAATACAGTTGAAGTGATAACTTCAGCTCGTGAGGCCATGCTGGCAGCGTGGTCAAGAATTGCTGCAAGAGGCTCGCTATCTAAGGCTGTGAATTCATACAGCATTCCTATTTCTGTTGAGAATTTTCTGCTGCAAACATCTGGTAAGATCAACTTTAAACAGTAAGCGCCATTCCAGAGAAAGAAGGTTAACTTTTATTAGTCCAATATTGAAAGGTAGTACAAGGAAAAGAGTTAGTTAAAATATCTGTAGATTGGATATTAGGTTCATAGGAAACTTACCTTTTGATTGATAGTCAAGTTTTGCTGGATGAACTTCTAAGCCAGGTCATAGAGTGCTGACCCTTTCTGATGACTAAGCAGAAGTATAAAGTGGGGAAAAAGCATAATCTGATAATGTGGTCAGCCACAGCCTGAGGTCTGTTATTTTTTTAAAAATAATTTTATTGATTTCAGAGAGGAAGGGAGAGGGAGAGATAGAAACATCAATGATGAGAGAGAATCATTGATCTGCTGCCTCCTGCATGCCCCCCACTGGGGATTGAGCCCACAACCCGGGCATGTGCCCTTGAGCAGAATCGAACCCGGGACCCTTTAACCCATAGGCCCACATTCTATCCACTGAGCCAAATCAGCTAGGGCCAGCCTGAGGTCTTTTTCTCTCCTTTTCCTCAAGGCTTTCTTCATAGCATAGTGTGGGGATTTGAACAGCCCTGGTTCAGATTATTTTTTTTAAGATTTTTTAAAAAATATGTTTTTATTGATTTCGGAGAGGAAGGGAGAGGAAGAGAGAGATAGAAACATCAATGATGAGAGAGAATCATTGATCCTCTGCCTCCTGCATGCCCCACAATGGGATCAAGCCCATAACCTGGGCATGCACTCTTGATCGGAATCAAACCTGGGACCCATCAGTCTGCAGGCTGATGCTCTATCCATTGAGCCAAACCAGCTAGGGCTAAGATATTATATATTTCAGAAGTGAAGGGAGGGAAAGAGAGAGAAACATCAGTGATGAGAGAAAAATCATTGATCAGCTGCCTTCTGCATGGGCCCACACTGGGGATCGAGCCTGCAATCTGGGCATGTGCCCTGACTGGGAATCAAACCTATGACCTCCTGGTTCATAGGTCGATACTCAATCACTGAGCTATGCCAGCTGGACCAGGTTCTTCTTTGTTTTTGTAAGAGAACAACTATTGGGTAAATTACAGAGGTAGAAAAAGTAATTTCTAGAAGAATTGGGCTTTGGAAACAAGTTATAGAGGTAAAGGAAGGACCCTTGGAGCTTGGGAGTGAGGAAGCTAATGCTAATATGACTGGAGGTGATGAGGAAGAGAAAGGGAAAGAAAAAGGCACAGGCGTGCTTCCAGGAGGGAGAGCACCCAGGCCAGATTCTTGTTTTATGACTTCCTTGGTTTGTCGCATTGGCAAGTTAATTAGCATAAACCCTGGTATCCTGTTTTATTAAATGAAGATTACAACTATTGTATTTCATAGAATGATTGTGAGACTTATGAGATACAACTTGGCACATTAAAAAGCAGGCAATAATAAAATGTTTGGGGCCCCTGTCCTCTTAAGAAATCTTGAGAATAACTTAGCCTTGTCTTCCTCCAACTCCTCCTCTCCTTGATATTTTTGTTTTCATCTCTAGCTGACCCTAGCTCAGGTCAGCAAAAGTCCTCGTTCTTTTTTGCTTGAGTTCTTTTCCTCTCCACATCATTTCCAAAAGTATTCTGGCTCCTCTTTTATCCAGGGCTGACTTGTAAGGCATGTTGTTCATTACACAAGGAACCCAGCTAAAAGGAAGACAGACAGAAGCTGAAATTGGCCTACTGTCTGCTCTCCAAGTAGCACAACCTCCTATGAAAAGGAATGGGCACTGTTTTGCTAATTTCCAAAAGCACTGTCCAGTTACATAGCTGTCTCTGAAGAACTGCTTACCCAACAACAACACCTCTTTCTAATTTTCATTAATGTGCCATATGACCTAGTAGCATTTCACACTTATTCATCCTTTTAGTACCTCTCTATTTATTTCTTTTTAAAATATATATAATTAAAATATATATATATATATTATTGACTTCAGAAAGGAAGGGAGAGAAGGAAAGAGACAGAAACACCAATGATGAGAGAGAATCATCAATCGGCTGCCTCCTGCATGCCCCATACTGGAGATCAGGCCGGCAACCTAGGCATGTACCCCTGACCGGAAACGAAAGTGGGACCTTTCAGTCTGCAGGGTGATGCTCTATCCACTGAGCCAAACCAGCTAGGGCATTAGTACCTCTCTATTTAGCAGTTATTAAGCATCTACTGTGATCCAAGAGTGTGTCTAATCACCAGGTATATAGTGCTAAACATAATCTTTATTGTTTTACAGTCTGATGGGAGTTTTTATGAATATTTGAGCTCACGGTGACTGCTTCTTTCTCAATTTCAAACACTCGATATCTTTCCTTGTTTTGTCTTAAATATCCCTCTCCTCAATTAGATTGTTCCTTGGCCTTTCAGCAAAGATCATTTTGCCTGTTTTTTTATATTTAAAGCAGTACAATATAGTAGTTAGACCAGTGGTTCTCAACCTGTGGGCCGCAACCCCTTTGGGGTCGAACGACCCTTTCACAGGGGTTGCCTAAGACCATTGGAAAACACATATATAATTACATATTGTTTTTGTGATTAATCACTATGCTTTAATTATGTTCAATTTGTAACAATGAAAATACATCCTGCATATCAGATATTTACATTACAATTCATAACAGTAGCAAAATTACAGTTATGAAGTAGCAACGAACATAATTTTATGGTTGGGGGTCACCACAACATGAGGAACTGTATTAAAGGGTCACGGCATTAGGAAGGTTGAGAACCACTGAGTTAGACAAAGGGGTTGTGAATCAATACCTGGATCCATAGCTTGGTTCTGAAAAAATTATAATATTTAACACTGCAAGCTTCAGTTACTTCATTTTTAAATAAGAAAAGTGATAGAAGGTAAATATAAATGTTCTTAATAAATTTATGAATACATGTAAACCATTTAGCAAGCATTTAAAAAGGTAATTGTTATCCCTCATGCTATATAATTTGTGAAGTTAAGAGTATAATGTCTTTTGGTCTACATTTTTCATGCTTCTCATTCAATCAATCCATCAACAGAAAATAAGAGCAAAGTCAAGAGTGAGTTGCTGAGAGGTTGGATTGGGGTGCAATTACTTGCTCTTCACTGTTTATATTTGTTTCTCTTTCCTCCCCAGGTGTCAGGTGGTGTGTGGTCCATGGCAGACATCGCTTAGCAAACAAAAAGGGTTGGGTTCGCCTGCAGTTCCACGCAGGTCAGACCTGGGTGCCTGACACTCCCACGAAGATGATTTCTCTCTTACTTTTACCGGCCTGTACTTTCCCATCCCCAGACCTAGAAGATAACATGTTATGCCCTGACTGTGTTAAGAGGTAACCCTTAAATATGTTTTCTGTATGTCTAGATGGTAGGAGAAAGCAAATGGTCAAACATACTGTTTTCTTAATTTGCCATATAGATCAGGCAAACATAGGAAGGAAAAAGAACTTGATAGTGGATTAGAACTCAGATAAGTATGTGCTTCTTAGCAATCTTAAAGTATGTGACAAGTTAGAATATTAATTTTCTCAAGTTTAGAGATCTGTTTTAAGAAACTAAGTTGTTATGCCAGATATTTAGCTGGGGTTAAGAAAATTAGTAAGGCAAAATCCATGTAGCATGGGGGGGAAAGGAGACTTATGTAATATTTTAACAATAAAGAATTTAAATTTAAAAAAAAGAGATACTGTGAAATAAATGGAGTAGCTTAGGGAAACTTCAGAAAGGATTACGTGCACTGAGGAAGATCTTATCAGTTGGAAAATAATAATTTGGGCATTTGGTAGTGGAAACAGCTCATACAAATACCTAAAAATAAAAGAACATGACATACTTAAAAAAAGCAGATAGGTCAATATTATCTGGTGAGTCATAATTTCTCAGTCACTTTTGGGACATAGACTCCCTTGAGAATATAATAATAGTTATACACCCACTGTTCAGGAAAATATGCATTGGGCATACACAAGCACTGGTTTAGATTTTCTATAGACTATAGAACTCTTTTTTGTTTATTTTTTTAGACTATAGAACTCTTAATGTTCACCCATTAATAACAGCTTTTGGTGATGGGTTTGGGTGGAGGTGATGTGAGATGGGTGTCGAGGGAAGCTAAGGCTTTTTTAAGGACGTGGATTGTAATCTTGCAACAAAAACTAGGTTGGAGGGTAAGTAAGAGATTACTATAATAATTCTGAAAAGATATAATTTATAAACTTGGCAAAAAGTTTAAAGAGGAATGGGACAAATTTAAGAGATAAAAGAGTAAAAGGAAGGGTGCTATCTTATTAGATGGAGGAAAGGCAGAAGTCTCCCCAGTTCAGTGGTGAAGAATATGACATGTGAGACATGCTTGACATGGGCCTAGATGTCTGAGATAAGAATGGGTTTATAGAGAAACATTTTTGGGAGTCATTAGCATTTAAATTGTACATAAGAGTATGTAGGAAATAAAAGGGACATAGGAAAGAACCCTAAAGAAAGTCAGTGGCAGGTGAACAATGGAGACTGTAAAAGTACAGTTTTAGGTTGGGAAACAAGTAAGAAAAAGGAGCAATGGGCAGAGTTTCTGAAGAACATGGTTGGCAGTGAGATGGCCATGTAAGATTATGAATAATGCAGTGCTGGTTGTTTTGTTTGCTTGGGGTTTTGTTTTGTTTTTTAATTGATGTTAGAGGAAAGGAGAGGAAGAGAGAGAGAGAAACATTGATCAGTTGCCTCTTGCACATTCCCGGACCTGGCATCGAACTACAACTTGGGTATGTCCCCCTACTGGGAATCAAACCCACCACGCTTTGGTGCTTGGGACAACACTCCAACCAACTGTGCCACACAGGCCACAGCTGCAGTGCTGTTGAGAATGTCAATTCAGGACATAACTGGTGCCATTTTTGAGAGTAGTTTGAGAGGATCAGTATATGCAGAAATGTGATAGTGACAAGTTAGAGCATGTGAAGGACTATGGCAGAACATACTGACAATCTGTACCACCTGAGTGAGAAGGAAATAGCAGTTAGCTGAAATAATAAGATCAAGGGTGCTTCCTTCCTTTCTTCCTGCATTCCTTCCTTCCTTTCTCCCTCCCTTCTTTTTTTTTTGGTATTTTTTAATGGGAAAATCATGAGCATGTGTGAACAGAGAGGGGATGTGGGAGAAACTGTGGGAAGAGAAGGAACAGTATAAAGATAAAGGAAGTGGAACCAATTGTAGTATACAGAATGTGAGGCTTGATATTAAGTGGACAATCTTGTTTCTTTGTTTAAGACGTAGAATTCTTTCACCCACCATTCTTAGGTGAGGGTGCTGGTGCTAACTACTTAGGAACTCCAGAAGTAGATTCCTTATTTTATTGCTCATTTCCAAGGGGTTGGTATGGAATGGTTATCTTAGTCTAAGTTTTTAAAAATTCTTTTCTCACTTGTTTTCTAGGAATAAAAGGATGGTGGAGAAATTAGTTAAAATCAGGAAGAGAAGAAGTAACCTGGTTTGAACACTCTCAACACAGAAGAAATGGTGGAGAGCTCACAACTAAATTAACTTGTGTCCCACTGATTGCTGTGCTCTGCCCTGGACACCCTCAGCATTCCTGATGCCTTGAATACAGATGTGAATGTTAAATTCTATATTGGAGGTTTGCCAAAAAGTGACTGCCACTGCTGCTTCAGGTGTTCAGCTATGTAGAATATGGTTTTGTTGTAATTAATAGATTTTTAAAGCAGCTTTAAGGCTTTTGGAAAAATTGAGCAGAAAGTAAGAGTTCCCAAATTCTGTCTTCCATCCTCCCCATTTCCCCTACTATCAACACCCTGCACCAGAATGGTAAATTTGTTGAACTTACATTGACCCATCATTATCACTGAAAGCCCGTAGTTGACATTAGGGTTCACTCTTTGTGTTTCACACTCTATGAGTTTTGACAAATGTATAGAGATGTATCCACTATTATAGAATCATACAAAAATAGTTTCACTGCCCTAAACATTCTGTACTCCTATTTGACATTCTCTGTTCCCAATCCCTGACCCCCTGATATTTTTACTGTATCCATAGCTTTGTCTTTTCCAAATTGTCATACAATTGGAATCATACCGTAGCCTTTTCATAGTGACTTCTTTCACAGCAATGTGCATTTATTTGGAGGAGCATGATTTTTGGATCTTATGTTAAGAGGGTTTAGCTTTATGAGAAACTGCCAAACTTTCTTCCAAAGTAGCTGTACCATTCTGAATTCCCACCAATGATGAATTAGAGTTCAGTGATTTGGATTTTAGCCATTCTAATAGGTGTGTAATGATATCTCATTGTTATAATTTGCAGTTTCCTAATTACATATTATGTGGACCAGCTTTTAATATGCTTTGTCATCTGTATACCTTTGGTGAAGTGTCAGTTCAGGTCTTTTGCCATTTGTTTTTAACCTGGCTATTCATTTTGTTTTATTTTTGAAGGTTAGTAATATTTTATAATATATTTTTTAAATTTTTTTATTTGATTGTTTTGAGAGAGAGCGGAAGGAAGAGAAATAAAAACGTGAATTCATTGTTACACTCATTTATGCATTCATTGGTTGATTATATGTGCCCTGACCAAGGGTCAAACCCAAAACCTTGTCATATCTGGATGACGCTCTAACTAACTGAGCTATTCAGCCAGGCTTATTAAGTTTTAAGAGTTCTTCTTATATTTTGGATGACATTCCTTTATCAGATATGTCTTTTGCAAATATTTTTCCCAGTTTTTGGCTTGTCCTCTCATTCTGTTGATTAATTAGTATATTTAGATCATTGATATTTAAAGTGATTAATAGAGAAGCATTGAGATATTTTTCATTCCCCCATTTTTAGTGTTTGTTTTTTGTTTGTTTTTTTGTCTTTCTCTTGTTCCCTTCTCTGGTTCTAATTGAAACATTTTATTAGATATTAATAAAATGGATACCCATTAATAGAATTTAAAAACACATCTGGATGCAGAAAAAGCATATAACAAAATACAATATCTTATGATGGAAACACAACACAAAAAGAATAGAATGGCCCTGGCTGGTTTGGCTCAGTGGACAGAGCGTCAGCCTGCAGACTGAAGGGTCCCGGTTCAAGTCTAGTTAAGGGCACATGCCAAGGGTTGCAGGCTCAATCCCCTTCCTCTCTGGAATTTATATATATATAAAATACGTATAATATATATATTAGAATGAAACCCTGCCTGGGTGCCTCAGTTGGTTGGAGCATTGTCCTGTAAACAAGGTTGTGGGTCCAATTCTCGGTCAGGGCACATACCTAGGTTGCAGTTCCTATCGGGGCACATAGCAGGAGGCAATCAATTGACATTTCTTTTTCTCTCTGTCAAACAAAATCCACAGATATCCTCTGGTGAGGATTAAAAAAAGACTAGAATGTAACAACCTCAACGTGATAACAAGATCACATGGGAAAAGCCCACAGCTAATATACTAAGTGGTGAAAGGATGAAAGTTTTTCCCCTAAAGTCAAGGATAAGGCTGATTAAGATGGTGGGGGCCCATCGGGGGTGGGGCCGGCTAGGGGGAGGGGCTGCAAGAGGTTAGCCATCCAGCCCTGCCCCCTAGTGGGGTGCAGGGTGGGGGATGATCAAGGGCAGGGCCGGCCAAGGGGAGGGGCTGTAGGCCTATCATGGTGGGGCGGGCCGA